CAGCCAGACCCACCCCCTTCCGAGCGAGCCCGCGGGGAGTCAGGAGGACGGCCCCCGCCTCCGAGCCGTGTTCGATGCCCTGGACGGGGATGGGGACGGTTTCGTCCGCATCGAGGACTTCGTCCAGTTTGCCACGGTCTACGGGGCAGAGCAGGTACGGAGCGGCCCGGGCCGGGGCGTGGGAACCGGGCAGGTGCGCGTCTGGCCTGCGGGGTTGATGTGGGACCGGTCGACGCGGCCCCTGGAGTCGGGAAAGGCATTGTCAAGACCTGCGAGTCCTGCTTTTGCTGCTTATTCACCACTTCGGCCCTGGTTTTCTGGTTGAATTTCACTGGAGTTCCCTTCTTAAAAGGAGGTTCTATTCTGGGGAGTCAGTTTCTTCCCATCCCCCCATCGCCCCGTCAGCTGGATCTTACAGAGGTCAGCTCCCGGCCTGGGGACACCCCCCCAGGGTGCCTGATTGACGTGCCCCTGAATGAAAAAGTTCCCCGCGATTCCCTCACCCGAGGGCCCAGATACTGCTTGGCTGAATTTACCCAAGTTCGAGCCGCAGAGGCCAGGCTGCCCAGACACCTTGAGATCCTACTGATAGATACCTATTTTCAGCACAATTACTTTACTGTGCGTGGTTGACATCTTTTCTACTTAGATTTCATCTTTTATTGTTTGGGAGACAGTCGATGTTTGTAGAAGGTCCTGGAATTAAGAATTTTTACTTTGGTGCCTTTGGGGAGGAAGGGAATGAGCCTCTGAGCTTGTTGTCAAATACAGAAGTCTAGCAGAACTCCATTAGGGCCACCTCCACTCTAACAGGAGAGGTGAAATGCGTGGACAGGCACTGCGCACAATACAGTGTGGCAGGGGTCCAGGCGGTCCTCAGGGCGCCTGCTCCTGGGGGGAAGGTGGGCCGGAAGATGCAGTCATTCCTATCTACCTCAGCACTTAATAAGTTTAAGTGGAGATAACAGCAGGGCCGTGTGTGTTCTGCCAATAACCCGGTGGACATCAAATAATACCAGCGCTCACTTTTAAATAGTTTACTTTGTAGGAAATCCCTAAGGTGCATCTGTCAATTTTTTGTATTTTGTTGACTTCTCACACATGCAGGCATCTGGTAAGTGGGTGTTCAAGTACATATGCATGTTTAAGCCAAGAGGTCTGTAAGAAAAGAGGTAAAATTGGCACACTGCTATTTAGGGTGTCAGTCATAACATTAAGAACCTTGATGGCCAGGCGCGGTGGCTCACGCCTGTAATCCCAGCACTTTGGGAGGCTGAGGCGGGCGGATCACGAGGTCAGGAGATCGAGACCATCCTGGCTAACATGGTGAAACCCCGTCTCTACTAAAAAATACAAAAAAATTAGCCGGTGTGGTGGTAGGCACCTGTAGTCCCTGCTATTTGGGAGGCTGAGGCAGGAGAATGGCGTGAGCCCAGGAGGCGGAGCTTGCAGTGAGCTGAGATTGTGCCACTGCCCTCCAGCCGGGGCGAGAGCGAGACTTCCATCTCAAAAAAAAAAACAAAAAAAAGAAAAAACAGGGGCCTGATAAATCAGGGTTCCTTACTGAGTTCACACTAAGAAGGTGTACACACAGGTGCCTGTGGGGCAGCCTGCACTGCTCACGTGCTTAGCTCCAGTTGGGATATTGTCAGGATAGTTTTCCACCTACTCTAATGAGCAGTAAAATATGTGACTGATACTTTCCGGTATCGTCAGTGTGGATGGTGGTTGCTGGTCTAGGTGTTTTGCTGTGTTTCCTTCTTGCCTCTGACCTGGAAAGCACCTTGAGCTCCCTTGGTTGCTGTTGGCTAGTGCACTGTGTCTTCTCCCAAACATACTCTTGCTTTAGTACAGCAAAGAAGACAGGAGAGTACCACCTTTGCTCCTTGTTACCATAACCCAACTTTGATAGAGAGCTTCTGTGAGGCTCAGGTATGTTTCTACTGGATTATACCACAGTTCTCTGAGATGGTAGGCAAGCATGATTCATCCCCACTTTGCAGGTAAGAAACCAGAAACTCAGAAAGATTAATATAGCTCTCCCAAGGCCTCACAGGGGTAGAACTAGATCTTTTGGCTCTTAGACCTTAGATGCCTCTTCTTAGATGTGGTGGCTCACAATATCCCTATTGCGATAATAACTTTTTGACTTTCATACAATTATTTTTATTTGAGAAACAGCTTTTATCATAACCTCCCTTAATGATCACAATGGGAAAAACTTCGGGTTGCTATTTGGGGCTGAGCTTTCTTGTCATCACAAAGTAGAAGTGAGACAAAATTCTTCACTCTGACAGCTCTTGGTGGAATTCGAAGGTTGGGGGCAAGGACTGGATGACTTGGGGTTTGATGAGGATGGGAAAGTGGAAGGGATCTCCTGTGGTATTACTCCTTCTGTCTGTTCTTCTGGACGGCTTAGGAAGAAGCAATGTTGGGTGTGATCTGAGTGCCTGGACTTGGACCAGGTTCCTGGGATGGAGGAGAGCTCTTGATTTCTTCAAGCTAAGTTACTGTTCGGCAGCAGATAATTTACAGGGTAAAGAAAGGTTGATTTTCATGTTATGTAACCGTGTAGCCATTCCTCAGTTTCAGCAGTCTTGGTTCATCTGTAAACTACCCACTTACTACCCCCAGATGATTTTTGAAGTGGGTTCCTGACATTATATCATTTCTTCCATAAATGCTTCAGTATGTATTTCCAAAATATATCGATTCTTTTGAAAACATTAATGATTTTTTTTAAAAAACCCTAGGGAACAGTTCAGATAAACTGGATAACAGCAATAAAGATTGTAAGTTTTTGTACTTTCTACCTTGAGATTTCAAAATATTGAGCACATGAGAGACTCTTAGTCCAGTCACATTACTCTCCTCGATGATAACAACTGGATTATCTTATTTTATTTTATTTTATTTTTTGAGGTGGAGTCTTGCTCGCTCTGTTGCCCAGGCTGGAGTGCAATGGTTTGATCTCAGCTCACTGCAACCTCTGCCTCCTAGGTTCAAGCGATTCTCCTGCTTCATTCAACTTCCTGTGTAGCTGGGATTACAGGCGCCTGACACCACACCTGGCTATTTTTTGTATTTTAGTAGAGAAGGGGTTTCTTCATGTTGGCCAGGCTGGTCTTGAACTCTTGACCTTAGGTGATCCACCCGCCACTTTGTAATCCCAAAGTGCTGGGATTACAGGCGTGAGCCACCGCGTCCGGCCAAGTATCTTAATTTTTATCAAATTTTCAGAGGTATCATATTCAATGTCTTCTGTGTAATCTGTTTATGAAGGTAGCATTTTAAATTATTTAAATGGATTATCTGAATTTTTAATAGAAGCAGCTCCTGTTTATAATACAGGTGGCTTTTGTGTCCCTCTTTCTTTAGCAATGTCATGGTTTGTTTGGATCTAATTACATCATCTGGTGATGGATCAGGTGTGGTGTAATGTAACACAGTGTTATGTTAGCAGGAATCAGCAGATGAAAGGAGCAAGTGGAGCTTTCTGGTTATATTTTCTTGAAACAGGAATTTATAGTCAGATGCATCCAGGAATTAGGTATGAAGTTGGAATAGGTGATGTTTTAGGCTTCAACCATCTCTGGAGATTGACATGACCCTTTCATGCTGCGAGGACTGATGCTTTTGTATTTACTACCACCCATCATGAAGCAGAGATTGTACAATAAATTCTAGGAGTGTTGTGAGAAAGGATTACTTTAATTTTGTTTTGTTTTTAAAGATTATGACTTTACATGTTATTTTTACAGTCACTTAAGCATTTGTATTTTAATAGCCACTGATTCTTTCCAGAGAATGTCCTTCAGTAACCTTGGTAGGCATTGTCTGTCTTCAGTACTTGCAGAAATAGGCTGCTGAAGGAAGTGTGGATGCTCAGATCTCCCTAAGTTTTTTTATTCCGGCACCGCCGCTGGTGGCAGTAGGAAGTTCCTAGGGACATTTGACTGCACCTTTTTGTTTGTTTGTTTTGAGACAGGATCTCACTCTGTCACCCAGTCTGGAGTGCAGTGGCAAGATCTCAGCTCACTGCAACCTCCACCTCCTGGGCTCAAGCAGTCCTCCCATCTTAGCCTCCTGAGTAGCTGGGACTATAGGCAGGCATGACCATGCTCTGCTAATTTAAAAAAATTGGCTGGGCGCGGTGGCTTACGCCTGTAATCCCAGCACTTTGGGAGATTGAGGCGGGTGGATCACGCGGTCAGGAGATCAAGACCATCCTGGCTAACATGGTGAAACCCCGTCTCTACTAAAAATACAAAAATTAAAAAAAATTATTTTTGTAGAGATGATGTATAGTATAGTGATATTGCCCAGGCATATTATTGAACTCCTAGGCTCTAGCGACCCTCCTCAGGCCTCAGCTTCCCAAGGTGCTGGGATTGCAGGCATGAGCCATAGCGCCTTGCCTGGCATCACCTTTTATTTGCTCTGTATCATTTCCAGTCTGTTAGCCTTGAATTTGAGTGAAGGTGCGTGTGAATGAGAGTGAGCGTGTGTGTGTGTGAGCAGTTATGTATGTGATGTGTGTAATATGTGTGTGTGTAATATGTGTGTGGTGAGATGTGTGGGAGCATGTGTCTGCAGGAGAGGGATGTGTATGTGGGAGTGGGATATCTGTGTGGACGTGGCTTGTCATGTATGTGTGTGAGCATGTGAGTGTATGTGTTCTGGGTCTACATGTTGACTGAATTGCTAAAAGGCAAATGAAGCTTGGGTTATATAAAGCAGAAAATGACCAATAATCCCACTATCCTAAGAAAAATAACATTACCATTATTTTAGTATATTTCTTTTCAGACTTTTTTTTTTTAAAAATAGAGTCTCGCTCTCTCCCCCAGGCTGGAGTGCAGTGGCACAATCTCAGCTCACTGCAGCCTCCACCACCTGGGTTCAAGTGATTGTCCTACCTGAGCCTCCTGAGTAGCTTGGACTACAGGCGTGCAACACCTGACTAATTTTTATATTTTTAGTAGAGACGAGGTTTCACCATGTTGACCAGGCTGGTCTCGAACCCCTGACCTCAAGTGATCCACCTGCCTCGG